GGCGAGGTGAGAGGAGCAAGAAGAATAGGGGGGATGTGGATATGGGGGAAATGGAGGGGGTTGGGGTGAAAAGAGAGCTGTAGTGAAGGTGGATGTGGAAGAGATGTGAGATAAAATAGATTTCGGCACTACTTGAGTTGAGTAATACTTTTACGTAAGAAGGTCGTTGAAATAAGAGAATTAGAGCGTGTTGAATAATTGAATTGGAAGACGCAATAAGTGGGAAAATGTCCACGAGAAAAGTTCGACAAAGAAAGAAAGGAACGAAAGGCGGTAAATCCAGATAATTGGGCTATCTAGAGCAAGGGCAATTCTGTTTAGTGGTGCCTTTTCTTTAAGTTCTTCTATTTTTTGTTCATCCACTTTTTTCTCGATTTATGTAGCTTCTGGTGAAAAGTACAAAGTAGGATTCACATAATGAGTGAAATATGAGAACAGACATCTATCTGCAATGTTAAAAACATGTCAAATATCAAGAACTGATATTTCTGATATTATGGACACTGCTCGTCCTCATTCAACATAAAGACGACATCAAAATCACTATGAAATTCAAAATACATGTACTACCCTTTTCCTGGTAACTTGTACATTAACAAACACTAAAGCATTTTTGGCATTCCACAATGATCCAAACAAGTGGCGAATGGCCATCCCCCTTAGCTCAGCTCAACACAGTACATTTCCTGCAATTGCCCTGTCCTTCATTTTCCCAGTCTGTGCGGAAGCGCAATATTTAAAACACTGTGTAAATATAATATTAATCCATTTCATGGCATTGCTCACAGCTTAAGAATGCAAATAATAGTATAAATAATGGTACGTTGCTTTACTGACACACCAATATGACTGACTGCCCTAGGATAATACTGTTTGACCATCAGCCTAGACGGTCATATAATCGCGATTTATGATCGCCTAGCCATCAGCCATCCGCCATGGTTCAGTTCTATGGCCTTCTGGGTTTTGCCTAACTAATCATCTTGAAGGAGTATGTACGATACAGCTTTGTCTTAGAGGTAGACATAGAGAAGGTAGATTGGCGGTCTAGTCCAATTATTACATACTACATTGTATTTTCCACCACTGCCCCATCTATCATATTTCCAATCTCAATGGGGGTAGGGGAATAAAAAGGGAAAAAATGGGGGAGGGGGGGGGGGGGAATCATCCTGGACAGAAAAAGAAAACGTCAATTTAGTCTAATTTCCATTTTCAGTCCTGACAGTCAGACGGGGTAGCCTCCCCTGTCCCGCCAGTTGTGTTCCCTGTCAGTCACAAGTCAGACCGGGACATCCCAGAATGCCGCGGAGACCTGGGTCTGAGGCTAGCGGCTTTTGGGGGGGGGAACTCACGCGGTGAACAACCGTATACACTCTCTTAGATTACTACCCCGTGAGTGGTGGCCACTCTTGAGACATGCATGCAGCCAGAGAGCGGGAAACGTTATGAAGAAAAAGTCAGTGGGTTTTTTTTGGTAAGTGTTTTACGGCGCCTGCAACTGCATAAGGTCATATGAGTGCGCCGTGTTTTAGTTTAGTTTAGTGAGAATTTTAGGTTATGAAAAAAAATTAACTGTTTTAGTTTAGTTGAGTAACAGTTTTATGCTATGAAGAAAATTTCAGTGTTTTACTTTAGTTTAGTAAGAGTTCTATGGTGCTCGCAACCACATAAGGTCACAAGAGCTCGAAAATCCAGTGTTTGACGTAAGAAAAGTTACCAGATAAAGTCAGTTTGAGATATGAAATTTTTTTTCAAAGAAAAGACTTATATCAGATGGGGCAACGGCTCTTTGGCGCGGATTGCCCAAGTTTGAATCTCTAAACAGACGCTTTTGAACTGGATATATTTAGGGCGTTTTCAAGGCTCTCAATCCATTTGTCTATTTTTCGTTTAGAGATGGAAGTTAAACTTGTCAGTTCAAGTGCCTAAGTAGTTTTAAAGAAATCGTTTGAACGATGCAGTTACAGAGTCAAATCAAATGCATCAAAACAATGATGTACCAGCTTCAATAGTAATATTGTTACCTGTAATCTTGAAGGTGAAGGTCGCTCAGTCAGACAAGGTTATTGGTTATCTCGTCGCGACATCAGTTTCGTGACTTCCAACACTTATTTGCATCCGTTCAGTTTTCAGTCATCTGTAAAGGAAAAGGTAAAAAAAAGTTCACACTGACATCGTGATGGTTTAGGGTTGTTTCGTTTTAGTCTGTTCCTGCGTCTTCAAACTACGTGCTACAATACAGTACTTGGTATTTAAAAAAGTATGTCCTTGAACCACCCCCTCCCCCTCCCCCTCCTCCTCCATCCCCAAGAAAAGAAAAACGAAACAAACCCAAAACCAAAAGAAAACACCGCCATCAAAAACACCAAAAAGAAAAGGAACAACAAAAAACACACACACACACACACACACACACACACACACACACACACACAT